TATATTTAAATATTTTTATATTTTATTATATATCTATATAAATTATTAATTTACACAGGATACATATAAGGATGAATATATTATTTGTTGTATGGAATATTTAAAAATTGGCAAATCTTATACTTCTGCAAAAATATATTTTATTATACATATTTTATAAAAAATTAGTAAAGTGAGGTTATATATTTACTTTTCCAGAATTCTTTTACTATACTATACATATTTCCATTATTAATATACATTTTAGAATAAAATACACAATAATTATTACAATAGTAGTTAACATATGTATCTCTTTGTCTTTATGCACTCTGCTTTTATTAAGTTCATACGCAAATTCGCAAAATTGTTCCTCTCTCACGATCCGTTCAACTCAATCCGATTACCTCCTGAGACAGGCACCAAAATCCGATTAAGCTAGGGAGTTTTTTTGAAATGCACCAACTGAATACCACTGTTCGATCGGATTGGAAATCCAACCATTTGTCGTAAACACCCATGATCATCCGTCATATTCGGAACACTTTTCGGTTTAGTTACGAAACTGCCAACATCTAGAAAAAAAATTAGCTAAACTAACCCGGTTCGGAATACACCCCTAATCTTATTCTGTATTACTATGTCGATAAGCAGATTTCTGTGGATGAGCATGCCCCTGTCGATAATCAGATAGGCAACCCGATATACTGATGTGTATGTATCGGAAGCACCCTGTACACGGTTCCACCCATCCGTACTGTATGCGGTTCCACGGGGTGTATCGTATACTGTTCTGCGGGTACCCGAATTAGTGGGTACTCGTGAAACCGGTCCAGATCCATATGAACAGGTACCCGGTTCGCAGACGAGTACCCGGGTTTTCGGTTACCCGATTCCATTTTCAAACTCTAATATCTATCTGATTTTAAGTTCTAAAAGCGTATACTAGTTCAGCTACAGAAAGCAGACTCATATAGGTTGACAGAAAATACTGACAAACTTCTTCTTCTTCTTTAATTAATGGCTCTCGCCTCCAAAAATAATAATAGGAGGTCGATATGGCCAGATCACGTCACAAATGTAATGACTATAAAGCATAGGAGCGTTTGTTTAATGTGAGATACTTATATATGCGAGGGAAGGGAAAAAGCGCCAAAAGCGGAGCAACATGCTCCAAAGAAAATCCTCGCAACAGTGTGTCCTTGAAGTAAGAGTAAGGAGACTTAACTAGATAGGATATGGAGAAAAAAGTTGGTCACGAAAAATGTTCCGTGTACTGCCATGTCCGCCGAACGGAATAACTTGCAACATTTCATCGCCATATTGAATATTTATATGTGTGCAGTATACTTGCGACTGTGTACACGTATGTGTACACATATACATAATATATATCGATCGGGATGACAAATATCTTAACCTGTAAAGTCTCGAACTGTAACGTTTAATAACTCGGTTCACAAGGCTGATCCCCGCATTTTTCTTATAGATTCTTTCGTTCTGAGTGAAAACGCGACGAATGAGTATAATTTTATACGTTTAAGGAGATACTAAATTACCCTATAGGCCTCTATATTACCGACAAAATCGTATAATTTTTGTATCGTAAATACTTTTTTTGTAATTCACAGATTCGAAAATCTTTTTACAGAATTAAAGTATACGCATTAATATGTATCTGTGAGGTAGAATCTTTGCTGAAAACGACAAAAAATTTCAAAATTGAACTCAACGCTTAGCAAGCTGGTCTGCCTTTTCATTCTCTTCAATACCTCTATGTGACAGAATCCAAATGAACTTAATACTTGTGCCTTTCTTCCCAGCCTCCTCCAACACCGATTTGATCAGAGGAATGAGGTAATTGTTCTTAGGATTATGATGATGCTTGAGTGACTCCAAAACACTAAGCAAGTTCGTGATGATCGTTGCATCTGACAGTTTCAAATCAATAGCTATGGTGATAGCAGTGTAAATCGCATAGGCTTCAGCCGAAAAAATCAAGTTATAAGGCGAAAGTTTATACATAAGCTCAGCCTGCAACTACGGAAAAAAAACTGAAGCACCCACGCAGAGATTATGATCAACCTTGGACCCATCGGTATAAAATAGTGTCGAGTCTTTTGTAAGCTGACGAAACTCATGATCAAATTGAGCCTGGGCACATGCACTGAGGAGCGAATTAGACAACAGGCGGAGGAGAGAGAGAAGCGTAAGAGGGGGAGATTAAAGTAGAGCGATAGGAAAAGCGAAAGTTAGGTAAGGTGAAAGAATAATCTATTTTAGCATGGTAAGAAGTCCATATGCAATGAAAAATAATGGCAGCGGGAAAGTGAGCTTTGAGGTAGTCAATCCGAAAAGCACCAATGGCCAGGTCGCAAAGATGATGAAGTTTAATGACTGTGACATGATCACGCACCGAAGAGATCTTAGAGAAGTAGCGCGAAGTGAGAAGGCGGAATCTAAAAGATAGTGTGAGCTCGATGGTTTCCGCGTAAATGACGTTGAGAGGCGTAGAGATGCGATAGCCAAAGCAGAGGCGAAGAGCCTGATTCTGAATGACCTGTAAAGCCCGAGAAGAGCCTCAATAGTCCAAAAATTTGGGCAGCTTATTCGATTGATGCACGTAACATGGCCGTGTAAATAGTAAGCAGCATGTGCCCAGATAACATTTATGTTGCATAAGATATCTAAAAGACGTCTTTTAGAAGTCTTATGTCTAAAACATATCTAAAAAAACGTCTATTAGATATCTTATGCAACATAAATGTTATTTGGGTGAGGATGAGCACCCCACCATGTGCCTCGAAGAGCACTGATAATCTGAAGGATTCGTTTACCTTTATTTATGACAGAAGACATGTGAGCCTTGCCGGACAATTTCGGGTCAAGAAAAACCCCCAGAAAACGAATAGTGTTGGAGGGTAAGAAATGGTGATTGTGAAGCGAAATAGAATAGTTCATGCGCGCCGTCGACCTCTTAAGAGAAAAGATTATAAGTTGCGTTTTGGGCAAAGAAATCTCCAGACCACGCTCACGTAAGTAAAGGTCTAAACCCTGTAAAGAAAGCTCCACGGATTGAATGGCAGCCGTAATGTTTCTCTGAGATGAAAAGATAACAATGTCATCCGCAAACTGCAGGAGTTCAGTATCAAGATGAAGCGCATCATTTACTTTTCTTAGGTAAAGGTTGAAAAGAGTAGGACTGAGGACAGAACCTTGGGGGGTACCCTTAAATGTGGTTCTAGGCGCTGAGATAGAGCCCTGTGTGATGAATTGAACATTGCGAGATGAAATAAGGTTCGCAATAAAGGATAGAAGAAGGAGAGGAAAATTTAAACTTTGCAAGTCTTGTATGAGAATGTGAGGAAGTACATTGTCAAAGGCCGATTTGATACCTACAAATACTGCAACAGTATCCCGGTTGGTTAGGAAGCCCGAGTGGATGCTAGCAACAAGAGTAGTAAGATTATCCTGGTATGAACGAAACTTCTGGAAGCCAAATTGATTGTTGGGTAGAAAGTCAGATAGAGGAGACTCAATGAGCCAATAAAGACGATTCAGAATCATCTTTTCCATAATTTTGAATAGGCAGGAAGTGAGAGAAATAGGACGGACCCCGCTGTTATTGGGCTTAGATAGTAAATGAATAAGAGAGTAAGACCACTGAGAAGGGAAAATGGAGCAACGGAAGAGATTATTGAAGATATCGAGAAGTGAAGTAAGAAGATTAGGCGGAAAAGCCTTAATAATACGATAGTCAATCCTATCAAGGCCCGAGTTAGAGGAGGCTTTGACAGAATGAAGAGCGGCCTGAAGTTTATCAAGTGTGAAGGGTTCATCTAGCCAAGCGAGATTGCCTTGATATGGCAATAGAGGCGGAGGGATAGGAGGAGGACAGAAAGGGGGACAAAGTTTATCGATGGCATCCTGGATGATAGCAGACCTGTCTTCATTTCCATTTTGAGAGGATGAGTTGGCGGGATCAAGTCGACGATTACGAAACCGCTTGAGCATATGCCATATGACGACAGTCGTAGTTAGACCGTCAAGAGAGCCACAAAACTTCCTCCAGCTAGTGCGTTTAGCCTTACGTAAGGTCTTACGAGTTTGTGATATCACAGAGCGATAGAAGACATAGTTATCTCTGGTAGGATCACGCTTGAAGATTCTAAGAGCCTCTCTACGACGCTCCACAGCCTCCGTACATTCTGGATTTCACCAAGGAGACAGTGGAGGACCCTTATGAGTATAAGATGCTCGAGAAGATATAGAAGAAGGCGGGGGCTTAGACGGAGAGAAGTTTTCGTAGCTAGCAGAGACAAGTTCCATAAAGGTGTTATATTGTAAAACCGGATCGTCCGGGTCGATATCCTTGATACTCTGTGAAATAGAGGCGGCATTGGCACAGTATATACAGTATAGCAACTCTCTGCGGCACCTTTGATGTCAGTGTTGGCAAAAATGGAGTGCGCATGCGCGAAATGGGTAATATCGGTATATAAAATTCACACACAATGATAATAAGCATCGAGATCTAGCTTTGATCGAGATAGGCTTAGCTTTGTGCTTCCTTCTTTCTTGTGAAATGGGTAAGTTGCCCAGTAACGTCACCTAAACTTCTATCTCACTTACTCTTTAGTTTTCTCTTTCTCTCTTTCTTTCTACCTACTCTAGTTCATTTGTATGTACAGAAAATTAATTTAAATATAAAAAAACTAAAAAAAATAGATTTATAGTTGTAATTGCATTGCAAAAAAAAGAAAATAAAAATAAGAATATATAAAATTATATAAATATTGTATAAATATACTGTAAAAACATTTTAATTAAAGATCGGCACACGATGCTTGTTTTCCTGCAGATTGTTTGCGTTTTTAAAAATTATTAGAATTGTACGACAGAGAATTAATGTAGATTTTTAGCTAAAACGTAAGCAATTCAATAGAAAAACACAAGCATTATGTTCTACAGATTTAAAATATTAATATAAACAATAAAAGGTAAAATTTACTGTTATACAGATTGGCCCGTATTCAGAATGCGCTTTTATCTCTGATATTCTATAGTATACGTAACGTAAACTGTAGCATGTTAGCGCGCTAACATCGTTATTAGCGCGTTCTGAAAACGGGCCATTACGTTTAAGAAAACAATTATTATAATGATTATAATTATGAAAAGTATCTAATAAAATAATTTTATATTACATTAAAAATAAAATAATAATTTTTATGCATCTAAAATAAAAATAATCAACTAAAAATGAGATAAAAGAAATTTTAAACTTAATATAATAATAATTTAGAAAACAAAGTTTTTTTATTTATTTCACAGCAATACTTGGAATGAAGTTAAGATCAAAAGTGCTTCCAAGAGGATAAATAACTTATACAATAGTTGTTTAAGTTAACTATTCTCTTAAGAGAGATCGTTCCTCATTTCATTTAATATTTTTCACTTTTTCACGTTTTTCACTCTTGCACTATTTTATTTCCACAGACTTTCCAGTCACAAACAGTTTCTCTAACTAACATAACTCAAACAAACGGCAATTATACTAATTTCCTTCAAATTTCAGCTTTCTAAGCACACATAAACAAATACAGGATATTTAAACGAAAACATTTAAATGGTCCTGACAGAGAGTGATAGAGAGAACGGATAAGAAGAAATGAGATAGAAGTTTAGATGGCGTTACTGGGGAACTTACCCATTTCGCACATGCGTATTCCATTTTTGCCAACATAAAATCAGGAGAGTTGCCATACTGTATATACTGTGGCATTGGCAACCTCAGTCCATTGAGGCTTGGAAAGTTTAATTTTGTACGAGAAGACCGCAGAAGTGCGAACCATACAGTTAACATGCACTTCCACAGGATAGTGATCACTGCTAAATAGGTCCGGAAGAATACGAGTATCGCACAGAGAAGAGATGCGCGGAGAAGCAATAGCAAGATCGATAGTAGAAGAACTAGAGGGGGGGGGGGAACGTGAAAAGAAGGGGGATTAAGAATTACCAGGTGATAATCGTCAATGCATTTGTTAAGCATATGTTCAGCAGGATTAGTGCGTGAACCTTCCCACATGGGATGGTGGGCATTAAAATCACCAAGCATCATAAAGAAGTCATGTTTGTCAAGAAAGGAGGAAAGAGAAGAAATAGAAGCGTGGAAGCAGGAACATTCTGATGTCTGTAAATACCTAAAAGAAATAGACGAGAGTTATTAAAGGAGAGCTCGATGCCCAAAGCTTCGATAGGATCGTCGATCATAGAGGATAGATCTACAGAAGAGAAAACGATAGGATTGCAAATGAGAACAATCATCCTCCTGATATTGGCCTGATTGGAATCTATGCGTAAGGAGTCGAAACCCCTCACACGAAAGTCATGGAGGGGGCCAACACAGGTTTCAGCCAGAAATAAAACATCAAGAGATTCCAACATTTTCTCGATGTCTCCACTCAGAGCTTCTTTCTTTTATTTGCTCTTTTACAATGTCATTATTTATATTTGCTCGCTTGCATAGAAAAAACATCCTTGTGGAAATAATAATTCTTATAAATCTTTACCTTTTTTAATTTTTTGGAACTCTTAGTCTTAACCTCTCCGAATAATGCAAGCACGCTCTTAAGCGGTGTCTACAATGAGATCTTAAGACCTAAGATTTAAACTTTAAGCCGTAATTTGTGACGTCATTTCCGTCCGTAAGGCTTTCCCGCCAGTACTTAAGCTATAACTTTAATCCTTAAACGAAATGGCGAAATTTCAATCTTAGTGCTAAAATCTTACGGTTTAAAGCCGAGTGAGATACGATAACCTGTAAAAACTGTTAGGAAACGATAATCTGTAAATATATGTTGACGGCGACTGACAGGCTTGCACGAGTTGCACGATGGATAGCACGATTATAGCTGTATATGTGAATTTCGCTCTGAGAAACGTTCTGATTTTAGGTTAAGACTTTAAGAACGTTGATTTAAGTCATGGACTTAAAACTTTCATTGTGGACACTATAATTTAACAGCTTATGCTTAACGCTTAAGGTTAAAGATTTAAAGCTTAAATCTTAGGTCTTAAGATCTCATTGTAGACGCCGCTTTTCTTCGTGAATGCAAGCCAGGCCGGACTGTTCAGTGTTCGGGTAAGGTTAATTGCAAATGGCGCCCAACCATAAGAATCCATTCCTTTCAGCCGACTCCCTTCCAATTAGGGGTCACGAATCAGGACCACTTTTTCAGCTTGCGTTCTATTAAGTTCAGTCTCCTTCTCTCTTATTTCGTGGTACTCATGCTCAGCGAAGCAAAAGTTACCTCAGATAAGGAAGCATGGCAAGCCAAGGAAAATAGGCAAAGCCAAGGAAAACACAGGAGTCAGTCCAAGAGCGCAAAAGGGATTCTCATTGGGTGCTTTTCAGCTACAAAACACAGTGTAACACTGTGTGACACAGTGTCGACTTGTAACTGAAACGCTATTTAGTCACTTTACACTAGTGTTTCTAATAGGAAAAAGTATTCTGGTATATTTACTAATTTAAAAGAATATTTTATCACCTTATTTGTTTCGTATACACTCATGCAATGTCGGAATATCATTCCTAGATAAATAAATAGTACAAAATGTAAAAATCTTGGTTATGTTGGTAGCTATGAAGAGACGACACAGTTGAACTCAGCATTTTAGCTGTGTACGATTGTGTCGACTTGTGTCATAGTTGGAAAACACCGTGTCGTACATTATGTTACACAGTGTCTACTTGTGTCGTAGCTGGAAAGCACTCATTGTACGAACGCTCACGAGCGAATGAAATACTGGATCTGTTTTTTGTTCCTGTACTGTCTAAACTAGTACACACGGTGCAATAAGTTGAAGTGAAACAAATATACGTTTGTTTCATTTTAACTTATTGCACTATGTGCACTAGTTCAGACAATGCAGGAATGAAAACCAGACCTACTGACAAACGTCTACACATAAATTTTTATTTTCTGACATTTAATTTTTTTTTTAATTTTTCAAATTGATCATTGCCAACATTAATTATATTGCTTTTAAATTGTTATCGCAATGGTAAAATTGCACGAATTGAAGTTCGAATTGATTTCCTATTCACCGTATTCTCCAGATTACAACAGTTCTGTGCGACTTCTTTCTGTTACTAAATTAGAAAAAATGGCTAGAGAAGAAATTTTTATCGATTCTGTAATCAGGGCAGGGTAAAATGCCTTTTGAATTTCATTTAAAATATGTACTATGAGGTCCCTTACGGAAAAAAACTATTAAGAATCAATAGTTACTATTGGTGTTCCAGTAGTTACTACTGAGACTCCAGTAGTTACTATTGAGACTCCAGTAGTTACTACTGAAACTCCAATAGTTACTACTGAGACTCCAGTAGTTACTATTGAGACTCAAGTAGTTACTACTGAGACTCCAATAGTTACTATTGAGACTCCAGTAGCTACTATTGATGCTTCAATAGTTACTATTAGGATTCCAATAGCTTGAATATTGGATCCAATAGTAACTATTCGCCTAATACATTTCTGCACTTGCGGAAATAATTTTTATACAAATTTGAATAAAGAAATCGATTTTAATCAATTATTTGTTATTATTTGTGCATTATTATTTGATGTATTATTATATCCTTTAATATTCGATGAAAAACAAAGATAAAAAATGATACGTCATGCGCATTACACTTGCGGAAATAATACATACACTAATACATACTATCATATAAACACATGAACCATCTATTTTTAATATTTCCATTGAACAGATATATCACAATTATATAGACGTTGACATATATACAGATTCGTGGGTCATCGAAGTACAGCAGTTCCCGTACGATTGTCAAGGTTAAACAGCGAGGTTCGTGGTACAACTTCGGATGGGTGACCGTTTGGGAAATATGAAAAGAAATTAATTCTCGAATTTAGGATAATTTTTCTCGAGGAAAATTTTTTTTTCACGATTTTATTCTAAAATTGATGCTAATTAGTAATACTTATTTTAACAATCTAACAGTAATTAGAGAAAACCTTTTTTACGAGGGACCAATAGTAACTATTGGCCAACAGTAACTAATGATCAATAGTAACTATTCACCAACAGTACTAACTATTGGCCATTTCACCATTTACCAATAGTTTTTTTCCGTAAGGGGTGTGTACAAAAAGTTCGTGCACTGAATTTTATTCTACCGATGCGATGTGGTGATGCTGTAAGCTTATACAGTGGTGCAACTTCTTGGGGGAAGCATCACGTGTCCTTAGTAAAAGTTCACGGTCGATTGAGATCTTTGTTTTTCGTGTATTAACGTACTTTTGGTCGTGTTGGCGGAATAGAGCGAGACGTTTTAACCGAGCAAAGAACCAACATCAAATTTCTCGTAAAACTTAACAAGAACGGCCAGGAAATTCTTCAAATGTTGGAAATGGTGTATGGTTAGTCTGCCATGAAGCGTAGAATTGTGTATACATGGATGGTTCAAGAAGGGAAGGGAGAACGTCAATGACGATGCATGAGCGCCCTTCAACATCACGTGTCGATGAGAACATTCAACGTGTTCACGATTTGGTGAAGGCAGACCGTTGAATTACCATTGCAAGAATGATTGCAGAAAAACGTGCGTAAACGTGTACGACGTACACGATCTGAATTGTGGGCGGAGAACGCATGGATTCTGCATTAGAGCAATGCACCTTCGCATACCGCGTTCGTTATGCGCGAGTTTTTGGCCAAAAATAATATCGCTACCATGGACTACCTTCCCTATTCACCTGATATAGCACCCTGTGACTTCTACCTGTCCCCTAAAGGAATCCTCTAAAAAATTCTACCTGTTCCCTAAAGTAAAAAAATATCATGCGGATGTTGATACCATAAAACGAGAAACGACGAAACTCCTAAAGAGACTGACAAAGGAAGACATACAACACTGCTTTCAGGTATGGAAGAAGCGTTGAACCAAGTGCATTCTGTCAAGGAGAAAGTACTTCGAGGGTGACCACATCCCCGTTACAGAATAATTTAAATTGAACTTTTGATGAACCGAGTGCACGAACTTTTTGTACACACCTCGTAAATATAAAATACTTTTAAAAAGTATATTTAAAATGCTGTTACGTACGGGAGACTCCACGATTCTTTTCTTTCATGGAATGTTAGGTGAATAATAAACATAACAATAAGATCTATATGTAATAAGGAGTACGGAGAAATGTGTGTGTGTAAGAAGTAATATAGCCATTTCTTCCTGCTTCTTACCTTTAATTTTACGATAATTGGCAAAGCCAAATGTTGAAAATTAAAATTAAATAATTCAAAACATCATTTTTCTAGTTGATAAATTCTACTGATAAGGGCTACGGTTGAAAAACAAAATTCGACGAATCTGGAGGTCTTTGCCACGTGAATATGCGATTTCTTTAGTATTTTATTATAGACGCAATTGGTGACTGAACTCTTAATTAATATAATTTTGACCATAATCCTACTGAATACAATCAATATAAATTTAAGGCTAATGAGCTATTTTTCTTTGAGATAGGCCTGCCACGCTCTTACTAGACAAACTGTAAAATTGATAAATTTTTTATACGGATCTATTTGAAATTTTCGGCAGGAGTAACATCCGCAATGTGATGAGACACTTTTGTCGCAAATAAAATTACACAATAATTTAAATTAATATCATCAATCT